TGGGCAAATCTGGGCATTTAAATGAAGCTCTAGAGTTCGTTGAAGACATGCCTATTGAGCCTACAAAAGAAGTATGGCAGTCCATAATAAATTTTGCACGAATTCATGGGGATATCGAACTTGAAGATCGAGCTGAGGAGCTGCTCATTAGGCTAGGTTCTTCCAGAAATATGGCTGATAAGCCCCCTGCACCATTTCAGAAGAGGCATTCTCAGTTTAATATGCTTGAGGGTAAGGATAGAGTTAACGAGGTCAAGAGCACAATTCAACACAGGGCAGATGCCTATGAGAAATTGAAAGGCTTGAGCGGGCAAATGAGGGATGCAGGTTATGTACCAGACACAAGGTATGTGCTTCATGATATTGATGAGGCGGCTAAGGAGCAAGCACTGATGTATCATAGTGAGAGATTGGCTATTGCGTATGGTTTAATTAGTACTCCGGCAAGAACAACTCTTAGGATCATCAAAAACCTACGGATATGTGGTGACTGTCACAATGCAATTAAGATCATGTCAAAGATTGTTGGGAGAGAGTTGATTGTCAGAGATAACAAGCGGTTTCATCATTTTAGAGATGGTAAATGCTCCTGCAATGACTATTGGTGAAGTCCATTAGCCTAGATTGAAGCTATTGCTGCATTTTTACTCTAGAATTTACATGTAAATTTACTTGGTGCAATGCATCTTTGTAATCATGTTTATAGGATAGGATGATATCACATTGTACATTAATATATGAATATTTTGCAATAGAAAACAATTAAAATTTCCCCGAATTTTCCAGTTCTTGTTATTGGCTACATGTAGAAGACTAGAACCATCTTATCAGTTTCTACTATTAACAAGGTCTAATAGACCTCCTGGATGAACAATGGCACATGCAACAAATTGAATGTTGAACAATGGCATCTATTAATATTTTATGGACTGAGACTTGCTACAGAAAGGATTTGAGGATTATCGAAGTTTGATATTCGCACTTAGCCAGTCCACAGCACATAGAGCTATGCTACTGTTGACTAGTTCAGGTCATACTGATGTAGAACTAAAGGAACTGCAAATCACTCCATGATGACACTGAGCAATGGAATGGAGCACTGGAGCAGTCCAAGAAAAGAGTTACCAGTTGTATAACATGATGGGATGAGAGCTTTCAATTACAAGAAGTCAAGCTTCATTCACACATTTGCAATGTAATTGTGTCTATATACAGAAAGGATCCTACCTAGTTATAGATGCAATGAGCAGCAGTCTCATCTAATTGCTTGATGAGTGAACTACTTATTCAAAGAACATTTATGCTTGTGTTGTTCTTAAAAGAATGGATGTACAAACTTAGAAGTCCAATTCTGAGCCTGAGAAAATTTTGTTAAGAGTGCAGGGATGATGGTTTACTATTTCTGCGGCTGGTAACAACTTCTACAACAGCTTCATCTCTTGATGGTACTCTCAGGTATGATTTCATCAAATCATAAACAGTAAATCCAATTGCCACGGATGGTACCACCTTAATTTCAGAAAGCACATTGATCAGAGCCAGTAATAGATATTAAAATATAGGAAATGAACAATATTACCCACTTTTGGGTCTAGCAACTCGCATTTTTCCTGGAAAATAGGCTGAGATCCTTCTTATACATTCTGTTGAACCTTAACCAATCATAAGTTTCATTTGTTTTCACTTCTATACCTTAAAATGTCCAGCATACCCTCCATTCTTACATGTAGAAATTCTGTACTTTAAGGACTAGATATTGCATTACCTTCAAATAATTGAGGCTCAACCCAGAAAATAGTTGCTTCCATCCATGTCTTTGTACAATCATAACTAGAGTATCAAGCGTTCCTTTCATTTCATGGCTGCTGCTAGATGCGGAGAGTCGTTGTACCTGAAATATTGTCTCCTCTTTGTCATTCCAACAGCAAGTTGATGACAAAAAACACTTGTTTGCCTTTGCAGTCTCAGTATAATACCTGCATCTGCCGTCTCACGACATCTAGGGGATAAGTAAAAGTCTGACCTAGTAGTCCTGCAACAGATCCACATGCTAGTTTTACTGTGATAGACTTCCTGCGCTCCTGAGGGACATGGCTTTTCATTTTCTCATAGAAGTAAAATTTTAGCCCCGCATATGGGAAGATTCCATAGAGTGATGGTGCTGCAAACACAACATGGTTATTAGACTCATAAAACTTGACAAAAAAGGCCTAATCAGTATAATTGTAAGGCAAAGACTTCCATACCAACACCACGGTACAGCCCTCTTATTCCAGCTTCCTTGTATGTCTTTGAAAAGCAATCCCGTATCCCTTTGTAAAACTGTTCACCTGTAGCAAGCCCTTGTACATTCAACTTCTGGGATCCAACAACCTAGACGATCATAAGCAAAAAATTGCTCACAGAGCAGTAATATGATTTCAACTGATCAATTTCCTTTTGACTAACAGAATCCAGTTCGGAAGTTACATTTGATCAAGTTGCCAATCTCTGCTCTGATAGAGCTTTCAGAGAGAGAGGAGAGAGGCAAGGCGGATGATAAGGAGAACAAAAGGAAACCAAAGAACATGTCCTCGTACCCTCTTACCTGGTAAGCCAATTTAGTTCGAACTAAATCAAGTGGATAGGTAAAAAGTACAGCAGTCCCACCAGCAAACGATCCTGCTACAAGATCTAGAACTGGACCTCTCCCAACTCCAGGAATACTCTGTATAATCCAGCGGCGGTACTCCTCATAGGCCATGAAATGCAAAGCTGCATAAGGCACAATGCGAACAACACTAGCTCCATTTCCCCTGGAGAAGAGTTCCACCAGAAAAACATGTGAATTTAAGATGAAATATATTTCTCTCAATTCAGAAAGCAGTAATTGTGGATTCTTCACCTGAAAAAACCAAGAGCTCCTTCTGTCTTAGCAATCTTTGTAAAGGATCCGGACAGCCCCAAACTCTGAAATTCAGCTTGTCTGGTCTATGAAGAAGAAAATTTAAGGGTAAGAATTTGATCTTCCACGAAATTTTGAGTTCTATCAAGAGCATAAAGAAAGGTCATTTTTTTCCAGTTACACACTTTAGCACTTGTGTCAATAGCAGTCATTGTAATTAGTTCTCTTAAGTTTGTTAATCATTCTACATTGTCAGTGCATTAACCCAAGATAGCATCATTATCTTGACAAACCAAATTCAGTGATGCTCCATTAAGCCATTAACCAGAAAGGCCAATGTTTTATTTTTTTTTGGAAACAAACCACTGGAGAAAAGCTGAGAACTTCCCGCAGGAATAAAGAAATTAAGCAGAAAAAGAGAAGAATAAGAAAGAAGGAAGCACCTGAAATAAGATCTTGATAAGCTCAAGAGGGGCAACAGCAGTCTTAGCAAATCCACCAGCCACACCCCCAGCTATTAGTTCTTTTGCAAAGAGGGGCATCCCCTCTAAAACCCCATCCATTAACACAACTCTCTCCTCCTTTTCAGTTTCATTCGAAGAAACTGACTGAAATATTGGAGAGAGGCGGACACAAATAATGGGTCTCTCTATCAGCACTCTAATTTACAGATCGAAAACGTTAATGGATTCTTTCTAGGTTTCGTAGTAGCTACGAAAACTAGTGGCGACAGAATCTTTGGGGAATTTTGGACGGGTAATGAGAGTTGGGGTCTATTTATAATATGTACATTGACGTTTCCAGATATATTACTTTTTGGCCAAACATGGTTGACTAAACTTGAATTCAAGGAGCAACCACCCGTGCATTTTTATATTATTGATGAGAATATACGTTGTGTCGAGGAAAAAAAAAAGATGTTGTTCGATTTTAGATTTTATATATATATATATATATATATATATATATATATATATATATATATATATATATATATATATATATATATATATATATATATATNTTGGAACTTGATCCAACTTTAGTTTAGTAGTAAGATTTTTTAATATCTGAAAAAAGAAAAGAATCATCAAAATTATTGGAGCATTGGAGCTCAAGACATGAATAAGTTGCCGAACGATGGCGAATTTTAACGTGACAGCACTAATTTGATGCAAGAGTGTTATTATAAAATTAAAGGTGAAACTTAAGTAGTTTGTACTTTGTAGATACTATCCTCATTGTTTACCTGAGCAAAACATGGCGTTTGTTTACAATACATCGTCCAATAACAAAGGTTACATTAGCTAAAATGTTTAGCAAAGAGTATCTCTTACACAATAGGTGTGAGTTCAAATCTCACTGTCATCATTTCTCCATTCTTTTTTGGTGATCCTTATGTAATAACAATTAGTATTTTTTAAAGAAAGATATTTATTTTAAAAGGATTAGAGCCGGGCCCTCGGATAGTCATAGAGCATTCTGGTCTACTTTGGTTTTAATAAAATTTAATTTAAGTTTGCATTTCTGGAATTTGACTAGATTATTTCCGGAAATAAGTCTAACCAAGTTTCAATTAAATGGATCACGGTTTTAAGTAAAATTCAATGGTTTATATCTTTTATGCATTCCATTCACTCCTTTTTCTTCTCCATCACTTTAACATTCCATTTTTTACCCAAACTAAAGCAGTTAACAGCGTTTGGTTGGAAAAATAGACTTGAATATATTTAATTCGAGAGTCGAGACTAAAGGTAGGTCAAACATATAGTATGAGTTTTAAATTTTTGACGGCGGGCAGCCAAGTGTTCACATGAATAAGAAAGCGGCTAGAGTGGGCAGTGGGCTGCAGCTGCTCAACATTCACCACGAGAAGCAAATAATGCATCTTCTTTGGTACCGAAAACTATGATATGATGTTGATAATTTAATAAAATTCGGTAAACCATTATGCCAGTCAGTAGCAGATGAAATAAATGAAAGGTAGCTAAATGGTTTATCTTCCAGTCTGAAGCGCCAACACCAACTTGAGCCTTTAAGCACAGTGCTTATAGACCAAAACTACCTATTATAGGGTTTGTTATATTGTGTACGAAAAGCAGTCGCCTAACCGATCTTAAGCTGAAATAATGGATACCAAATTGCTACGTTGAAGCACAATATGGCATTTAACCAGTAGAGAGAAATCTATGAACATGATCGGTGAGTCCTGAGTGCACAATCAGACCGGCTGGCCTCAATAATAGAATTCATTTGGAAATTGGTGCAGAAGAGAGATATACCTTGACAGTTTCAATAGACTTTTTATCAAAAATTTCTATGTTCTATTCCTCGCGGACTTTTTCAACAAGCTGAAGTAGGATGCTTGCTAGTTCTTCCCCATTGCTCCATTCATGACAATCTGCTTTCAAAAGACTTGGATTACTTAGCAAGCGATCCCACAACGGAAAGCCCTTCCTTGGCATCACATGATCTCCTCTATCAAGCTTCAAGGTTGGGCAGTAATCACCTCTCCCGTCTCCAAGATATATGACTCTTGATTTCCCTTTCTCAGACATGGAAGCTTGGATCTGCTCAATAACAAGACCCTACACAAAAGTAAAGCTGACATTTTAAATAACTGCTACTTGTAGCCAATGCATTACTGGGTCAAAATGGTAAGAGTCGCATCAAAACATTGTGGGACGCAACACAAGTAACGATCAAGATGTGTCATTAAATCACTTTTGAAGCATCTCAAAAGACCTTGTTAACAAAGTAGGGAAACAAAAGACAGAACCAAAAACACCTGAAAGCTTTGTAGTCATGAACTTGAATTCAACCTATAAGGTATTATTAAGCAGCCACTTTCACTATTAATTTAACCTTCAAGACAGCTAATCAAAGTGCATACAATGTCTGCAGCATCAAGCCTGCTACAAATGTAATCACTCAGAGAGATACAGCCAAGCAGAAAAAAATTATGCATGACATAAATCTTTATCAGAACTTGAAGCATAATTGTTTTACAACATCAATACACGTGATAAGAACAAAATTTCTCTGTTCACAGGATCACATGCTAATGGCCAAGCACAAAACTTTAAGACTGATTACACATGAATGAATAAACAATATTGAAGGAAAAACATAATGTACCAATGACAAGAACAAAATAGCAAATCGTGATCATGGCAGCTATAAGTTGTTAACTGCTATGAAGGTAAAACTCAAAAAAGCAAAACGTGAAACAAATGCATTCTGCTTGGCAGTTGCAAGGTTTTGATGATTGACCTAGATGCTGTTAAAATACATCCGGTATAAATTTACAGGAACCACAACATTACAAACTGAGAATTTGGATCACTAATTGCGTTAAGTTGCGCCACATGACAGAATTAATGTCAGGATACCTTGCACAAGTTGGGAGGGCATAGATTACAACCATGAAATGAGGCCAAATCATGGTAAGGGAAGATTCTCAATCTACCTTCTCCATCTACCATAGTTGGGTTTGTAATGATCTCCGAGAAACATCTGTATAATCCGTGATGTTTCAATATAGTGTCGATGTAAAACAAATTGGCATCACTAAGTACTTTTAAGTCACATCTGAAATAACCACAACCGAAAATTAGCAAAAGCAACAAGTTCATCGAAGTCTCGATACAACAATAAAAAACGACAATTTAGAAATACATACCCAAGAGCATGAGCTGATTCTATTGCTGAAACTGTCTGAGGATGCAACGGAACGTGCTTCAAACATTCAGCTATCTGTTCAACTGTTTTACCTTGAGAATGTAGTTCCTCCATCATCCTATCCTACAAACCAGTCACACTACACAGTTTAAAACTAAAACTTATAATAGAAAATAGTAGTACCAACCTAGCCAAATGAAAACCTCATAAATCTACCTTAACAATTTACAGCTTGCTTCACCCAAATAGAAAAACAAAATCCTGCTTTCTTCCACATATAGCCTGTTTGGCCAAGCTTAAAAAAAGTGCTACTTTTTCAAAGTTTAGGTTGATTGTATCGTATCATTTGGTCAGCATACTTTCAAAATAGAAGAGAAAATTCAAAATTAACCATGAAAAGGGGGAGCAAAACATAAACAAGGGAAAGAGAAATGACTGATCAAAGTAAAATGCAAAAGTAATATTGAGATTAGAGTGAGGGAAAAGCAGTAACCATGAGAGCATTCCAAGGTAAAGTTGGACGGAGCTGGTTGAACAAATGGGTCAGACCCATATTCTCCACGACCCATCTATCGCTATCATCATCAATTACTGTCCGATCAAAATCGAATATGATCACGGTCTTTGCCCCCGCCATGTTCAGTGATTTTCCGGCGATCAAACAAGCGGTTGTAAGCTGCCGGGAACCACTGAGTTGTTCTGAAGCAGCAGCAACTCGGACTTTATACTTCGGGCCGATTGGATGGCCCATAAAGTTTGTGGTTAGCCCAGATCTGGCAATTAGATTCCGTGCCAACCCAGAAGTTCTCAAAACAAAATTCATAGAGATATAGGTAGAAATGGCGTGGGATAGCCATTTTTTAATATGGTATTTACTTTTTATCCGGTATTTTTAACGCTGAGCAAAAGTAATCACTATTCTATTAAAATTAATATGAAAGATATTTTTACCTTTTCTTCAATGAGAGCTGGATTGGGCAAAGTAGTTCCTTTGATTTTAACTTTCACATATTACTGGTGTTTCTCTCTATTGGTTAATGTTCTCAATCTCGTTAGTGGTTCTGTATTGCTTTGGATAAGTATTTCTCTTACCAGAATAAATGTCGTCTTCGATTTACTAATTTTCATGGGTGTAAATATTAAGGACATGGTGCACACATGAAGTTAAAGACGCCATGTCCTTAACATTTATACTGATCATATAAAGTTAAGGATATGATGTCCTAAAGTTTAACAACGAAAGGTGCAAATACAGGACATTTTGTCCTTAATATTTATACATCATTCATGAAGTTAAGGACACTATGTCCTTAATATTTACCAACACCCATAAAATTAAGGCACTACGTCCTTAACATATACATTGCACACATGAAGTTAAGGACACCATTTCCTTAATATTTACACTGTACATATTAAGTTAAGGACATGAGGTCCTAAAGTTAAACAACGGAAGGTGCAAATACAAGTTAAGGACATTATGTCCTTAACATTTACACTGCACACATGAAAATAAGGATGCCATGTCCTTAACATTTACACCGTACATATGACGTTAAGGACATGATGTCCTAAAGTTTAATTACTGAAAGTGCAAATACAGGACGCTTTGTCCTTAATATTTACACAGCATTCATGAAGTTAAGAACACCATGTCCTTAATATTTTACACAACATTCATGAAGTTAAGGACACCGTGTCCTTAATATTTACACAGCACCCATGTCTAACACAGGGGTATTTTCGTTCGGGCAGGTAAAAGATTATTAAGCACTGACTAAAAAGTAAATACATCTTAAACAGTGGATAAAAAGTAAAGACATCTTTAAATAATGGCTAATCGTGCACTTCCGCGTAGGTATATAGCTGGCTTAAAAAGAGTGGATAGCATGCACACTTTTGTTATTAACACAAATATGTTCCAACTTTCTTTTTGGTTCTGATTATCTAAGTTCGGTCAATTCATATCTTTTTCTTTGTTGGTAAATTGAAATTGTTGCGCTTAACTTCTTTTCATTTGACAACTTATACAAAGTAAGATACAGCCATACAGGTAAGGCATGATTGAGTCGTAACTCAAAACATGATAAGAAAAGGTTAAGAATCCTTGTATTCATTGTGATACACATCTAAAAAAGGCAATTTTTTTGTGCATGTGAGAGAGCAGTGAGCCACATTTTTATTCCATATTTTTCAAGATTTAAATTTGATACTTATACACGATAATGGATGCACTAGTTTTATTTATTTTAATTTAAAGAAAGAGACAACAAACATAGAAGAGAAAGCGCGAGTGGTGAAGTCTTGATTACTTTCAACTTTGCCACGTCAATAGAAGATGGTGGGAGTAATTTATATTTTCAGCCTTGGCCCAAGTGTGAAGTCAGAAGTGGAGTAGGGAGGATATACATGATTATGAAATTAAAATCTACAATAATTAATAACGACCAGCTCAATTGCTGTCTTATTCACCATTTGTCATGTTCATAAATAAACGTCTCTTTTCCGGTTTACAAATACAACTGAAAGTGGGAACATGTTCAATGTTGTCCTTTCTCTGCCTACAAATGAATGAATCCCCTCCCTATGTCCATTAAAGAATTTCAACCTTCCTATCTACACCTCATATATATGTATAATAATACCTACCCTTCTCACCTTCCAATTACAGCAAGCCCCAAAAACAACAAATTAAACTTATAGGGACTTCCAATATACACAAGTTAAATTGAAGTGAATCCAGCATTATCGGCGTGTACCCGGGACCTTGGATTCAATCCGGGTCTTGATAGGTTTCAGTTTTAAGCCCATGCTCTCCGGAGAGAGAAGCTCGGGGGCGATACAAGATGGATTTAGAGGACTCCTTGGGCTGCCACTAAGCTGGTTTGGTCTGTATAGTCCATATCCCATGAGGAAATACTCCATTGGTATCAGCATTGCATGTGGCTGCTCTTCTGTCACCATTGATCCACACGCCTGTACCTGCAAATTCCAATCACAACCCCATATCTTTCGTGAACAACACCATTCCTATATTAAATGAGCATTTACTCAAAGTTCTATTACACATAGGATCTACAACTCTACACAAGATCCAATGCCTAATGCCAACTAATACATCAACATTTAAAATAGTAGAGCATTAAACAAGTACACATAGCTTCAATCAGTATACTTCTGCAGCTTTTTATGAACGTGCACACGTAATTTTATTCAGGTATACTACAAACAGCTTCTTACCCAATCGACCTAACCCTATATAACTTTTAGCCTGAAAAGGAATACCACTATATGGAAATAGTGTGTCGTTTCACATTAAACTGAAAGCATACCTCCACTAAGGCACTGAATCTTCTGTCCAACTTAGCCGTCATGTGGAGAGCATCGGAATGGAAAGGAGAACTATCCCCAACAAATATGAGAGTTCGACATTGTAGCTTTTTCAATCCTTGTGTGATATCGGGTCTCCTGCTCATTCACAAAACCAAGCTTAGCGAGGTCTAATTTTGTGACTATTCAAAAGCAACACATTGCTATCTATATTTTATATGCAGTGAGATCAAGCTTCCTACCCGTCAATAGCTTGAAGAAACCGCAAAATGTTTGTGCTCTGCCTTTCATCTAGCAACTGAATTTTTTATTTTTTTTAAAACACATACAAGAGTTAGCGAAAAATTAATATCTGCAAAGCAATAACCTAACAAACAAGTAGAAGAAGAATCAAACTGACTAACTTCTGCAAACTAACTAACAGAGAAAAGGCACTTACTCTTCTGCATGCTTGAGCTATATCTGATTCTGGAACTTCTGCGCTGCCACGAACCTCCTGATTCAATTAAAGCAACCTCCTTAATCAATCTGATCGATCGGAAAAAACAATAGACATGAAGAAAACAAAATAGGACACAACAGGTACCTTGCTGAAGTAACGGTATAGTAAAAAGTCTTTCAGCAGACTACACATTCCATAGAAGTAAAGTAAATTCGACATGACCTGTGGATTAACAATTATCTCAACTTCGATAGAGCATATTTTCTTCTCACTTAAGAAAAAGGTAAAAGAAAGATACGAAATGGTACCTTATTATAAAACCATTCACTCCAAGAAGGTGCTCTGCACAGAGGGGAAACAAGAATCAAACCAAGAACGCGCTCCCTATGTTTTATCTGCAATTTAAAATACATGTTAGTGAAATATTGATAGTACCGCTAAGAGTGGGCATTTTTCAGGAAGAAACTTACCGCGAATAATGTGACTATATAGGCACCAGCTGTTACTCCCATACACATAACTGATCGCAGCCTGAAAATAGCAAGAATATATAACTTTAAAAAATTCCCTCTTTTTTCCCGGATGATTCATTGCGTATACAGAAGTTATCAAGAAAGGGCTCACAAAAAGCAGAAAACAGGTTTCAAAGTTCAAACAGGTAACTAAAAGAAAGGAAAAGGCTTTTGCAGTCTTTGTATAATCATGAGTAAAATATATAGAGTAAATAAAGCTCGAGAATTACCCAAAATAGTTAAGAACCTCAACTATCTGATCAGCCAAATCATCTACTGAAGGTGCAGGATCCTCTGGACAAATTGCTGCAGCTCCCAACTGCAAGAACTCTTGTGGTGTGAGAAATGGAGATAAGTTGAATCGTTTCTAATAGAACTTGATAAACGGAACCAAAAACCCAATAAGATTGCATGAAAGAAAACAAGCTGGCTAATTCACGGACCTCATGCCCCGGAGGACTTATGTGGTAAATGCAAAAGTTATGGAGCAGCAATGAAGCTGCTTCCGGACAGAAGAATAATCCCTGGAAACATGACATATCTGCAAATTGTATGTTTGAAAGCAAAACAGCATAAGCCCGCGGACAAAGATCAACAAACAAGCAATGATATATAAACGACCTCAAAGCACATGAATAGAATACTGAAAATGGTAGATATGGAACTCAAGAACGCAAACTACTCACTTACGATTTAGAGCTAAATCTGGATAAGTTATCAGTGCTGGCTTCTCTTGGTCTCCATAAACTATAACAGACACAGGGCCGCAGCTAGTCCGTACGACATGCTCCTGAATAGAGTTTCTTTGTGTAAGTTCGATAAATCAACATAACAGATATCCATTATCTACAGAATACTAATTTCTCCAAGTTTATAGTTAGCAGGAAAAGCACTATTAATCAGTATGATTTTGTAAACCAGAATGAATTTGGTTTAGTGCAATTTAAATCACTTTTCTAATATATTATCACTCACCGCGAGTAAAAGACACTGTCGTCCTCCCCCTACCCCAAGCTTTCTATCCTATTTTTTAAAATAATTCCCCCTTAACTATGTGGAATGAGCGTAACTATGTGATCGGCTCACTACACATTAAACTATAACATCAAATTGGATTATTACCAGCTCTTGAAAGGAGATAAGAAGAAAAGGACGGAATCAAAGACAACAACAAAGAAGAGAAAAATTGATCATATGTTACGCAACATGAGTCGTTAAATAAAATAATAAAATGGATAGACAAAGTAAAAGGCAAGCTGTGTTTGGAAGTGACTGGAGTCACAAATGTCACCACAAGATGATAGGTAAGTCTCAACCAATTGAATACAAGAAGTAGAAGTAAAAACACAGAGGATTGAAAAGATACAATCTAACACTCACATAAAACCCAAAAAAGCACTAAACGAGTATCCTGGAGTCATTAACATTATTCAAAAACACTCCATTTGATCTCCGACAGAGGAATGAAATTATAAGCAATCAATACAGCTAAACAGTCATAAGAGAAAGCTAATTGGCAGTTGTAGAATGAGTCTGCAACAATTAACACAAGAAAAGAAGATGAAACACCATTCAAAATCCAATTCTTTTGCGCTCTTCTGTAACCAAGGAAATGATAATGGCTCTAAAACTTTTATTTAAGGAATTCAATTACTCACGTCCCTTCACCACCAATACAAACTATTCAGCCCTCAGTGGCTAACCGAATGGGGGGGGGGGGGGGGGGGGGAGAGGAAATGGAAAAACAAAAAATAAATGGTGTGTTTTATGAGCCTGATAAGAAATAAATGCAGCGGTCAAACAAAAAAATTCACGGCAGAGAATAGAGAATCTCCACCTGTGACGGATACTTCAAGCGTTAAGCTTCTTGTACCAGTAACATTGCACATTTTCTATCAACGAATCAAAATCCAATAATCTAAATTAAACAACATTTAAAAAAGTTGTGTTTGCAAAAATAAAATGGAAAATTGCACAATATGAAAAGCAAAAATGCATTATCAATGCCCAGAAATGATTTCAAAGAAGAAAAACAGCACAATGCTCGTTCACTGAGAAATTTCAATTAGCCAATGTATAAGGCAGACAGATATATCATAGGGGTGAAAGGGTAAAAATGAAGGAAAAAATAAAACCTTTCCGCCGAGATAAATGGTCTCAACGTCAATGGCAACAGAATCGGCACTTGAATTAGAATCTGCCATTACACTCAGCTTATCTGCGTTTGAAGGTTAAAAGAAAAGCCCAAGAAGCCTCACTTTCCTTCAAATCTTTCAACGCATATATATTAATGTAAAAATGGGTATTCCTTATACAACAAGCGATTCTTTCTCTCTTCAATCCTTTTCTTCTCTGCTCTTCTCTTTTCCCCTCTCTCTCTCTCTCTCTCTCTCTCCTCTCTCCACTTTCCTTATTTATTTATCCGACGGTTCGTTTTTATTTCTGAAGATTTTCAATCAGTGGCTTAACTTAACCTCCACCGACGCCTCTCAGGCCTTAACCATTGACTGTGGTCATATTTTAACCGCAGTTTACGACCGACAGCTTGGCATTACCAAATTCCTTTCTCTATCTCTATATATGCGCATATGCCACCTTATTGCGGACTACTTCATATTACGTCGTTGTGCTCGTTTTTTTCTTTTTTTGTTAATCCTTTTGTTTCCATATATTAATTTCATTACCCATTAAAAAAAAAAAAAAAAGGAGAGGTTCTACAACTTCAAACTCTCCTTATACAACCACAATAATAAATCAATCCATAAAAGCACAGTCGTATATATCTTACCATCTTTTATTTGTCATCGTGAATGACTATCACCTCCAACTGCTACCGCCGCTAACTTTTAGAAACGTGATTAATCAAGCAAACAATTTTTATAGCACAATATAAATTAAGATTTTCTATAAGATTATTGATATAATATTTATTTATTTATTTAAAAAAAACTATACATTTAGTTTTCTTTAAAAGGTAAATTAGAAAAGAATATTTTAGTTACGCAGTGACCAAATTTAAAGATAATATTTTAATAGATATTGTTTACCCTAAAAATTGAGTAACAATTAAGCTTGTAATGTGGTTTTAAGGATGTGTGATTTCACTTAATACCGATTGATTAGTTTAGAGATAAATGATCGGAATTGACAAGAATATAAAACAAATCGATGCTTGGACAGCTGATGAACCCTCAAGAGTAGTAAAGTAAGAACAGTTAAAGAATAATAAGTTGATGAACAATAGAGAAATATTATATTGCTTTGATCTGTATGAACGTAACGTGTTTACAAATGATGGGACCTCCCCCCTTTACATACTAGAGGAATCCTACTTATAGTACAATCCTATTTACGGAAGTAAATCTCATGACTGGTACAAATAACCGCCCTTGATTTGATTTGTTTTGAGATTTCCGCCGTGATCTCCGACCGATTACGAATATCCCGTCTTTCCGTTATTGCACTTCACTCGAAGTCGGTCATACTTAATCTCGACTGTGTCACACCTCCTTTTGTACACATCTACCCCGAAGGATAATGTATAGGGGAGTTTTTTCAATTAAAGTGACATTATTCGAAATGAAATTATTTATTTATTTAGAGTCGCCACTTGGGATAGGTTTGGCTTTTGGTGTCCCAAGTCACCGGTTTAACTTGAATCCCAAATCGAGGAAAATTTTCGACTTCCCAATTGGAGTCTGCGAACCAGAAATTCTGAATAAGGAATTCTGTTGACCCGAGGGAAGGTGTTAGGCACCCCCGGATCCCGTGGTTCTAGCACGGTCGCTTAAACTATTATAATTGGCTAAAAATCTGATTTTAATACATGTCATCCTATAGTGCAATTTTAAAATTATTTACTGCTTTTAATTAATGTTAGGAAATTGAACGTCGTTTAAAATATATTTTCGGATCACGTCACATGAAATACACTCGGATCCTCGACACATTTTATTCAACGTTTTGGGATTTGGATTTGGGTCACATGAAATGCACACCCGAATTTAGGAAAGTAAAATTATTAAAGAACGCACCTAAAGTGACTAACGTGTTATTAACTTTGCGGGAGGCCATAAAAATTTGGTAAATGGCACGCCCCGAGTTCTAAATATTTTTAATGAAGTAATTGAAGAGGGCCACGCGATTTGTGATTTTATTTGGCGCGACGCACTTCGTTNATTTGGGATATACTCATCCCTCAGTATTATTTTCCTTGCTCTATTAAGTTTTCCACCGCTTGTTTCAGGGTCCAACAGTCATTTGTATGATGGCCTTCTGCCCCTGAATGGTATGCACACCTGACACCAGCTCTGTAGGCAGGCGATGCCGGGTTTTTTCTGTTCTGAGGGACCGACTGCAGCAAATTCATTTGAACAAGCTTCGGGAACAAACTGGAGTATGGTTCACCGATTGGAGTAAAGTTTGGTCTCCCGGGTGGTTCCCGAGGACGGAAGTTATTCTGCGGAGGTCGAGGATTATAGTGGTTCTGGTGGGGAGGCTGATTTCTTGGGAACGGAGGTTGATTTCTATTGGCATGTGGCTGCGGCCGGGCAAAGGGTTGAGCGTTCATGACCACGTAAGGTGGAGGAGCATAAGCCATGCCATGATGAGGGTAGTAATGTTGAGGGGTTCTTTCAGAAAACATGGGTCTGGGAGCTTTAGCTTAAACCTTGCATGTTCTTCAGACTCTGCTCAAGGCTCCTCATTCTTTTTGCCATCTCATCCTGTTTAGGAGCTTTAGGCGTTTTATCTTGTCCGGGTGTGAACTCGAATGAGGGTGGCTGTGGATAAGCATATGTGGGATATTGAGGAGGATCCACCTGAAAGACAGGGTTTTGGAAAGTGAAAGCCGAGGGATCAAAAGCGGGCCTTGGAAGTGAAGGTTGTGTGGTGGCAGAGCATGGTGGAGCGGTAAAGATATTGGGAGCTACTCCTGATGTGAACACCTGGGGGAGGGGGGGGACCTCAGAAGGTGTTCCAACAAAGTGAGCGGATATGGTAGGTTGTCCCAATGGAGTATTTGGATGACTGATGGGGATGTTAGAGGTACCCCCTGTCCACGCATCCCGCATCTCCATGACCCTAAGACGTAAGATCCTGTTCTCTTCAGCTGCTGCAGATTCTGAGACCGGGACGCCCGAGATTGGGCTATCTTCTAGGATGGGAATTGCTGGCAAGGTCATTTCCGAAGACATTTCTATGCTCCCTTTTGATCTGGTAAAATACTGATGTGATGCCAGTTTACCACAGAAAAACCAACCACTGTTTCTATAAAGCCTGGACTGGAGGTGACAGCAGCAAACGGTTAGTTTGAGGAAAATAACAGATAGGTAATCGCACGTTGAGGCGTGATGCACCTATACAGTTAAATGTGTTTCTATATGTTTCGCAACGGTTGCATGCGTCATTCCGGCGTTCCTTATTCTCTCCCCTTTTCTCTTTCGATTTTCATCTCTTTTGCTTCTCTTTTCTTTCTTCTCTTGCCCTTTCTCTCGTTTTGCATTGCCTTTTTTTTTCACTTTCTCTCTTTCTTTTCTTTCATTCTCGCCTTTGCTTTTTGCCACGGTTTCTTTCTCTTGGTTTTCTTATTTTCTTTTCTCTTTTATTTATTTTCCTCTCTTGTTTTTTCTTTTATTTTCTTTCCTCCCTTTTTCCTTTTCTCTTAGGGTTACGGTCGAATCTTATGGAGATTGCCTACGTATCATGACCCGCATGAATCAGACCAAGCGTAGTTCTTGAAGANATGCCAGGGAGGTCCACGGGTTATGCCGGGATTGAAAGAAAAAGGCTCCTTGGTTATGCCAGGGAGGTCCACGGGTTATGCCGGGATTGAAAGAAAAAGGCTCCTTGGGTTATGCCAGGGAGATCCACGGGTTATGCCGGGATTGAAAGAAAAAGGCTCCTTGGGTTATGCCAGGGAGATCCACGGGTTATGCCGGGATGGAAAGAAAAAAGCTCCTTGGGTTATGCCAGGGAGATCCACGGGTTATGCCGGGATGGAAAGAAAAAAGCTCCTTGGGTTATGCCAGGGAGGTCCACGGGTTATGCCGGGATATCTAGGGAATGGGGCCCTATGCTACCATGATTTTTTTTTTCTTTTGGGATTTTCATTTTCACTTCTTTTTCTTCTTTCTTTCTTCTTCTTTTTCTTTTCTCCTTATTTTTTTTCTTTTTATTTAGTAACACGCATGAAAGAATTTGGGGGAAACTTCCCTTTTTGGTCGGTTCCCTACTGCAAAGCTGTTTCAGCGCTTGCGCATTTCTTTTCTCTTTGGGTTGCACCTGCTTCTTGCGTGGTTGCTTTGAATTACACCTGTTTTAACTTTCAAACAAAGAACAATTTGTTAGTTTGAAATGGTGGTTGGTTTTGTGGCTTTGACCATCTCAATTGCTTGATCCCGGTCCAGTTTCCGTTGAGAACTTTGCTGCTTGCTGATTTTGAGGGTGAATCTCTTTTCAAACCGAAAGGACTCAACTTTTAGGATTTCATGATCACTTGCTCGTGTGAGCTCTGGCCTTTTCACTTTATTCTGCTCTTAGGACCTTTGTCTTTGACTTTCTTTCCTTTCCAATGTCTTTGCTTTAAAACATCCATCATGGTCATTCGGGATTGGCCTGACGCACCCGCTGAGGCTGGGTATTTTCTTTGGCTTTTGCCAGGCGAAGCCCTATAAAACTAGTCCTGCCACCTTTTCTTTGTAATAGTCTCGGAATCAGAGTTAAACCGAAAGGGATTCAAGGAAGAAGTATATAAAAGTCAAGCATATGAGTTTTAAGAGAAGTGTCCCTTTCGAGGGAAAAGAAGGACTTATCTGGGGGTGCATGCTGGCTCCAAATGGACATGACATGCTTCTTGGACTGGATGCCCGACCCACACAAACTTTCCAGCTTATCGTGAACCCATTGATCCGCATTTCAAAACCAGGGAACCTTGCCAGGACTCTTTTAGTGGTGAGATGTCTTCTTTTCGGCCAACAGCGCCCTTTACAGGTTTTCGCTACTCGACCTCTCTCATTTCTCTTCTCACCGTCGCCCGATAGTGCTCTTTTCGAGTTTTCACCCAACCGACTCTCTCATTTTCAATTTCTCTTCTCACCGTCGCCTTATGGTGCCCGAAGGTTTTCACCGATAAGACTCTCTCATTTTATTTCTCTCAATTTGGACTATACCAGATTCCAACAATGTTGCTTTTCAATTCCCATGCCTTTGCCACTTGATCAGAAGGACTTGGACAAGGTTTTGGGTAAAAAGAATTTTGGACGGAAGTACAACTTTGGAACCATTTTGGTGGACTCATAGCCGAACCAACATATCATCTGCCCCAGTTTCAACTTTTGGGGGAATTGGGATTTTTGTTTTGATATGACCGAACCCCAGCGAGAGGCTGCCTACGTATCCTTTCGGAATCAAGTCAAACGTAGTTCA